GTCAAAATGAATTTCCATCAAAAGCACTTTCTCTGAGATTTTTTTTTTTTTTTACAAAAAGCTTTTATAAAACCAGTTTTAAAGCTGATATTTGCTTTTGCCATGATGCCTCAAAAAATGTGTCTTGGCTACCCAGTTGTATCAATCATAGCAAACCATACTCATCATTTTCTTCCATCCTACTATCATATTTGGACCCAGATATTTTTCTAGTAAAGAATATTTTTATTATGCATTTAAATAGTATTTAGTGCAACCAAGGTGACATTTAGGTTCTTAAAGTTTTATCACAGTAGATGAAGAAAGAAAATTATTGGAAATTCTCCCGCTTTTAAACACAGAAATAGCTGTCTCAGCATAGCCCCAGTTTATTAAAACAAAACAAACCTGAAAAAAGCTAAAAAACCCCAAACCAACAAACCACAAAGCCAAAGAATTTTTTTTAAAACCCTGAGACTGACTGTTTTTCAAGCAAAGACCATGTCTGAAAAACATCAATCCCACTACAAGATTTCAGAAAACGCAAGGTATTAACAGGACAGAGCACTCTCTGGGCAACTTTAGGATAGCTGGTATTTCTAGTTCACTGCTGCACCTCTACTTTAGAAATCAGCATCAGTAGCCCAGAAAGAGAACAGATATTACGTATCCTGGGTATATTCTTCAATTCCAACCTCATTATACCAACTACTGAAAAAATAGGAAAAGTATCTGACTTTCTGTGACTTGATGTGACAAGAGAAGACAAAGAGCTCCAAATGTTAAAAGAACTGGCATAAGACTAACAAGCATCAACAGTTAGAAATGAAAAGACTTGTACTTAGTCATAGATTAGTTTGACTTCTAAGTTTGTTTTTGTTTTTATTTATTTAAACATTTAAATGTGAAGTTTTGACTCCAGGAGGGCTCTACCCATACAAATATCTTGCTCTAACCAAGCAAGTTAAAACAATGTTTTACCATGTTTTCTTATTCCAAATTCCAAGGGCTTTTTTATGTTTTATGGACAAATTGGTAAAATAAATACTGTAAACGGAAAGAAGCAAGACAAAAATTAACAAGTCTAATAGTAACAACCTTAAACATACACACACAAAAACCAAAACCTCTGCAAACAAAACCAAAAAGCCAAAAAAAAAAAATCCACTGTGCGGCAGCATGACTAATAGACAAGCCCATATATTAAGAAGATACAAAGCAGATGAAGCTCCCTAATGAATTTTCACATGGTTTAAAACACAAGGCTATTCTAATAACCTGTCTTACCGAAACCAGCCAAGTCCAATACTGCAACTGCTCGAGGCACAAGACTCACAGTTAAGTTTGCAGAAATTTAATTTGTGGGGCAGCTGCAGAATCCAGCACTACTAGTTTGGCAGATCTGAGACAACTTCTACAGTGCAGGAAAAGCCTGAACTGCTGCTTTTACTGACGCTGAGAAAATATCAGCTCTGACTAAAAATGTACCCCACCCTCGTTAAAGGCAACAAATTGATTTGAGCTCAACTCTTGGCTTCCACTACACTTCTGCCTAAATAAACTTCAATTTGACACACTTAGTTGGTCACCAATGAAAAGCCTAAGGCTACAAGTTGCTGCAAGAGGCCATTTTCCCTTGGACACATCTGTCCTATTTTCTAAACTGAAGAGGAGCTTCAGAAAGTGTCTGATGCTCTAAACTATTCACAGGGCCACACAACCAGGCAACTGTAAATGCAGATTTCAGAAGCAGAGCTTTGCTGGGAAAGCACTCTATAAACAGTAGCATGCCACTGTTCTCAATTAAAGACACATTTTACTGTAAGTGAACAGTGACCTTTTTTTCCTTTTTAAAGAATCCTTGGAGAGGTACTCAATACAATTATGTAATGCTTACAACAGGCTACTTTTCCTGGCTAAACAAGGACATTCCCTCAGAAAAATAAAACCATGCATTTTAAATTAAGACAGCAGTGACGGAATAAGAGAAATCAGCAGAATATATTTTTACCCTTGGAAAGCATTATCTTCTGCAGTTCCAGAAGAAGTGAGAAAAACTAACAGACATTAAATAGAAGAAACATTTTCTTCTCATTCAAGATTTATTACAAATTTATCTTCATAACACACCAACAATTAAAAAAGAACGACCAGATCTTTTCTGATGTTCTGCTGCTAGACTTTCTTCCTTCTGGTATGTCAACTGTATCTAGCTATGTTGAAATCAAACCCTTAATTCTTTCTAGATAATTTTTAAACCAGAATTCTGCCACAGCTCTGTCCACATAATTTTTCCCTTCATGCACTTCCCCATGACTTTTTAAGCACTCTCTTTCTTTCACATTTGTTTTTAATTTTTCTCTTGCTTTTGCCTTTTATTCTAAACACTCAGCGGTCTCAATATATTGATTAGCAACAGACCCACTGGATCTACAGAGCCCTCCTACTCATTGCAAAGCGGGTGCACAAGCAAGCTCACTACACTGGGTTTCACAAGCAGACTTTTGGCATCTTCGGGGATCTGCCTGGTGAAGGTACCATGGGATAAAGCCTGAGGGAACAGCTACACAAGAAAGTTAGTTAATATTCAAGGATCACCTCCTCCAAGTTCATGAGCAATACATCCCAACAAAGCACTAGTCAGGCAAAAACACTGGGAGGCCTGCATGGATGTACAAGGAGCTCTTGGACAAATTCAAGCAAAAAAGAGGAAGCCTGCAGAGGGTGCAAGCAAGGACTGGTAGCCATGGGGGAATACAGCAAAATTGTCCAAGCTGCCAGGGACTGTGTTAGGAAAGCTAAAGCCTCAAAGAATTAAAACTGGTCAGGGATGTCAAGGGTAACAAGAAAAGGTTCTATAGGTACACCAGTGATAAAAGGAATACAACGGAAAATATGAGCCCTCTGTAGAAGAAAGAGGGAGACCTGGTTACCCCAAACAAGGAGATTGCTGAGGTACTCGATGTTTTTCTCTAAGTCTTCAGTGACAAGTTCTCCATCTGAGTCCCAGAAGGTGAAGGAGGGGACTGGGAGAATGAAGAACTGAGGAACTTCCACCGAGGAAGATCAGGTTCAAGATCATCTCAGGAACCTGAAGGTGCACAAGTCCACAGGACCTGATGCAGTGCATCCACAGGTCCTGAGGGAACTGGCAGAAGGAGTGGCTAAGCCACTATCCATTATATTTGGGAATTGTGGCAGTCCAACCTGAAAAGGGAAAACAAACCCCTCATTTTCAAAAAGAGAAAAAGAGAAGATACAGGGCCATCTCACCTTGGTGCCTTAGCAAGATCATGGCGCAGCTGCTCCTGGAAACTGTGAGAAGGCACATGGAAAATAAGGAGGTAATGTGTAAGAGTTAACACAACTTCACTAAGGCCAAACCACTTCTGGCAAATCTGTTGGCTTTTTACCATGGGGTTAAAGTGTTGGTGCATAATGGAAGAGCAACTGATCTCATGTACCTGGACTTATGCAAAACATTTGACACTACCTGTTTAAGCCCTTGTTTTTAAATCAGAGAGACACAGATTTGAGAGATGGCCACTCAGTGGATAAACAGCTGGCTAGATGGCTGCACTTAAACAGTTGTGGTCAACAGCTTGATGTCCACAGGGAGAGCAGTGAAAACTGGAGCTCCTGAGGGGTCAATATTGGGTTCAGCATCCTGGTGGGTGACATGGACAGTGGGATGGAGAGCACCGTCAGCAAGTCTGGCCACTACACCAAGCTCTGTGGTGGGACTGACATGCTGGAGGGAAGGGACACCAGCCACAAGAACCTTTATGTACTGAGAAGTTTATCCATGTGAACCTCATAAATTTCAACAAGGCCAAGAACAAGGTCCTGCACCTGGGCTGGGACAAACCTTGGTACCAATGCAGGGTTAGTAGAGAATGGATTGAGAGCAGCTCTGAGGAGAAAGAGTCAGAGGTGTTGGTTGATAAGAAGCTCAACATGACCCAGGAACGTGCAGCCCAGAATGCCAAAGACAACCTTTGATGAACTGCATCAAATGCAGCATTGGCCAGCAGGGCGAGGGAGGGGATTCTGCTCCCCTGCTCTGGTGAGACACCATATGGAGTGCTGCAGCCAGCCCTGGGGATCTCAAGATAAGAAGGATGTAGACCTGTAGCACTGAGTCCACTGGAGGGTAATAGAACTGATCAGAGAGACTGAGAATCTGTTCTATGAGAGAAGGCTGACAGAGCTGGGGCTGTTCAGTCTGGAGAAGAGAAGGCTCTTGGGAGACCTTACTGCAGCCTTCTGGTACCTAAGGAGGCCTGAAAGAGAGCTGGAGAGGGACTTCTTACAAAACCACATAGTGGCCTGATAAGCAGTAATGGCTTCAAACTGAAAGAAGGCAGGTAGCAGAAAGTCTTCACTATGAGAATGGTGAGACACAGGAACAGGTTACCCTGAAGCTGTGGATGCCTCATCCCTGGAAGTGTTCAAGATCAGGCTGGATGGGCCTTTGAACAACCTGGTTTTGTGGAAGGTGTCCCTGTCCATGGCAGGTCCCTTCCAACCCAAACCACTCTCTGATTCTATAGTTGCACCTTTACCAATTCTTGCTGCTTCTCTTACCTGCACACCTGGTTGCCCAAAAAGGTGCAAAGGAACAACTTCAGCATTTAAATTCTATCAAAACTTATGAGAGTGCTGTACAGATGGTTTCCAAGTTTATTTTCAAGGCAAGAAAGTAATCTTGATCTACAAATCTAAAGTAATCATATAGATCTTTTGAGTAGCAAAAGTAAATAATAAAAGTTACAAAAAAGTGTACTGTTGGAAAGCTACAGTCCTACATTTTGAAGGGGTGTAAATCTATTGCTGAAAATAGTAAGGAAAAAAGTCATCTTTGGGGGATGATTAAGAAAAAATAAATTTTTACACGTTATTGAATTTGCAGAAGCCTAGTTTGAATACTGGAGAAAGAACATACTGCTCCTGTGCTAAACACAGCTTTAGCACCTCTGATTTCTCCACATCAACCCAGTAAAATGTTTAGTGCTACCTACCTGAATCATCAGCTAATCTGCTGATTCTCTCCAACACAGCAATACAATCTCTCTCATCATCACTGACTTCCTTCAAAGTGTCCAGCAAACTTCGAGCCACCATTTGCCTAGTTTACAAGAAAGATTAAAAATAAGCATTATTTGTGTCCAGAAATACAGCTAAATCAAAAAGTTGTGAATCACAGAAGTTTCTTACACCAAATAAAATTTTGTATATATTCACTTAAATTTTAATTTATAAATTGTAGTAAGTTTAGTTAGCCCTGCTTTGGGAATTCTTACTTCTGATACCTGGCATAATCTTAAAAAATTGTAAGCTTTAAATATAACATTAAAAGTATCCCTTTCATTTACAAGGATAAGAGAAACCAGCCACCAAGACCAGAAATAGTAATCATCTGCTAAGTGGGCAAACAGGAGCTGAATGTTAGGAAGTCAGAATCAGCCTTCCATCCATCCTCATCTATGAAGTCCTTAACTTGTTCCATACAAAGCAAAGTAACACTAGTATCGTTAAAATGTTTTTAAACGGAACTCTGAATTTATTTCACAAAAGCATGAACACTCAAGCTAAAGATTTTCATACCAATGGTGCTGTAGTTGACATTTAAACCAACAGTGGTTGACATTTAAAAGTCAAACTTCATTTGAATGCTATGGGTATATACTGTGAGTGGTGGGTACATACTGTGAAAATAACACGTACTACCCAACCCATGTGTACCTAAGACATACATTAAGCAAAGCAGAAACATTAAGAAAATATGAAATAAGTAATAATCAACTCAGTTCTACTTCAAATGGGCAAGAAAATTTTCTGTGGATTAATTTATGAGTGATGAGATATAGTCAGATTTGGGATTTTTGCCCCTCAAGGTTCTGTCATAGCCTGTGCTACAAAGTCATACACCCATCAGGTACCTAGACAGCCCTGGATGTAACTGGGAATGCGTGGCAATCAACCTTCTCCTCAAAAACACTCTGCAATGGCATCACTCTTTTCTTACCCTACTGGATAACATGGGTTAATGTCAGTTCAGAGCTAGCAGAGTTATCCCTGGAAAATGGAATGGGAATGGGCCAAGGAACAGTGTCCAAGACACTGGTAGATCTGGTAATGCCCTGGAGCAACTCAACAAAACACTGAAGGAGCAAGTGTCAAGTGACAGGTATTTCCAGAACTGAAGGACAGAAACACACCTAGGATGGAGCCTAGGTAGAAGCACTGTTGACAAACAGCAGTGCTGTAGACAAGAGCAGAGGCATACCTAAACTTTATTATGTTCACTACAAGCACTGAACATGAGCAGTGCTCAACAACTTACAAGAGAACAGATGGTTACATTCCCAGTGCACAAGGGAAGCTCAAGAACTTCACAATTCCATGGAATCAGAGAAAGGCAGAAGGTTTCCATGAATTCCCAAAGCCAAGCATACATTTTCTCCTACTGAAAATCAGTAATTTAAATATTGCACATTGGCCAGTTGCAGAACTATTTTAAATAAAACTGTTTTGACATACAGATGTATAAAATCTTCTAAAAAAACAAACTGAAGAAACCATTTGCCTTTAATTAATTTCTTCTCCCTCACTCTTTTCAACTCGACAGAAGTACATCTCTCAGCAGAGATCCTGATATGCAGTTAAAATTCAGCCACAAAAACCCTAACAGAGGGAAACAGACTGCATGACACACTAACCTAGAAGCAGAGTTGACTTGGTCTTTTTAAAGGGCTGGACACCTCTGAAAAGAGAAGAGGAAGAGATGAAGCAATTTCATAAACCAGCCTGTGTGGACATGTGTCTCCTACATATTTAATGTAGTCTTGGAAAGTGAGAGACAAGTCAACTACCCACTGAGTCTCAGCAAGGGAGGAACCACAGTGAACAGCATTACTGCCAAGATGTGCTTTGGTCTGAAGAGGAAAAAGCAGCAATAATTCCTCATATGAAATAAAGGATCTGCGTTCAGGAACTGCCTCACTATTCAAACAGATTTATTGGTGAGTGCTCTACACTTTGAGCCTTCTTAATGAGGAATGGAAGCAAGTTCAAGGCAATAAAGATTAAAAAACCCACAAGGGATTTTAACACAAAAAACCCAAAAAGAGACAAGGGCTAAGCTCCAAACTGCACCAGCAACTAGCAATTGGTTTTCAAAGCAAGTACAAAGGAATCATCATCCTTGTATGTATGTACACACACCAGGGCTATCAGACACAAGAAGATTCTGCGTTCCAGGGTGACGGCTTTGGCTTTCTGCTCAACATCTACTCTTGCTGCAATGTGATGGTGGATTATTAAGGCATATCCTAGAGATGCTTCTCAAATCTGAACTGAAGGCTGCCTCTTCAACAATCACACCACAGCCAGACTCCCACTGGTCTTATTTTGCAGACAAACAATTTATTGTAATATTTGTCAGGTTCCCCTCCATTCTCATAGACAACATCTGTGGTGCTCATGAGCAACACCTAAACCAGTAAAAATTAAAAACATAACATACCAAAAGTTGTCACAAAGCAAAACCTTCCACCACTTGGGAAGCTGTTAAAGGATTCCCTACTTCTCTCTCACTTTCAGTTAATCCTATGAGAAATCTTACATATTTAAACAAAGAAGATATTGCTATTTCCAAACCTCATCTCCTTAAATGTTTTAGGACACAGACACTGATTCATGTCCATCTCAGAACAAATGGCTGAAAAATCATAAGCACTCAAGGAATCCACTTAAAGGAGACTAGACTTTTGCAGCAGTTGTTAAAAATCCCTTCACTTTAACCATTCAATACAATCACAGACTGCAAATATGCTGCATAGGTAGGCGATTACCCAGATAGAAAAGGATAATAAAACCAAATGCAAAGAGAAATAATACCTAAAATGAAACTTAATGAATAAAACCTGCCATACTAAAAGCAAATTCATCCAATTAAAGGGGGAAAAAACATCTTACCCTAATTTACCCAGATTCAATGATTATGTTTCAAGAATTTGGAATGTGTAATATGAAGCTCCCACAGAAATGCAGGTTCAAGGTCACAGAAACAATTGAAACATTATTAACTCAATCAAAGCATTTTAAAACTTTTAAACTACTCATTAGTAATTGGATGTGCTGATACCATACTAAGACATAGAAATAAACAAATGTAATTGAATTAATATTTTTCGTATTAAATGCTCCAGTTCCTCTGCTTAGCAGAAATCCCTCCTATTATTCTGAGACTGACTAATGCTGAATCATCATAAACTGACTGCAGTAGTCACTATCATTTATTGTGATGTAAGTGCTACTCAGTTATACCACTAATAATTATCATTTGCTATTTCCTGTATTTTCTAATGCTATGTAACAATAGGCCTACAAAGAAAGCTAGGATTAAAAAACATGTTTGTACCAGCAAAAATAATCCAAACAAGCAAACACAGGGGAAAAAAAAAATCAGGAAAAACTAGTTACTCCAACCACCTTTCCCTGCAGGAAAGCATAGGATGCATAAAGCTGGACAGAGCAATTAAAAGGATTCCCAGTTTGTGCATGCCCATATCCAATGCAATCCATACTGAGAAATCACCATTTTTTCTTAGGCAGGCAAGTAAGATATTAGGAACAGCACTGTTGGTTAAAATTCAAGATACACAACTTGAGTTTCTGAAGATACACAACTTGAGTTTTTGAGTTTGTTCTCCTTCCTACTGGCTTTTATTATATAATTGTCACCTGGAGACCGGAAAGCTCCTCTTCCCTCCCTCCCCATGAAAAGTCAAAACATGCAAAAACTCTCTCCTGGTAGCATAAGTGTCCATTTCATCTTAAATTGTAAAATACAGTAATTTTGGATTTCAGGAAAAAACAAAATTTGAAAATGATGCATATTTCAGAAGTTATGTGTGCATACAGGTTTATGCAGGTTATAACAAGAGAAACCATTCTGCAATTCTCAGCTTTGAGTCAATGGTATGTTCACACACGTAGTGAGGAATTTTAAGCACACTGCACGTGACTTAAGTTAAGAACAGGGCTAAATCCTTTCCAAACCCAGGCCATGAACAACAAAACAGAGACTATCCTATTGGGTGGTTGATCACAGACTTTGCTTCTGCACATTACTGTATTAAGAATTCAGCATTAAAGCAAACACTCTATTAAAAGCTTACTTGAAGCCCAAACTAAACCATGTTCAAATAAAATACCAGAAAATCTCAATGTTAACATATTTTATACATTTCTGTGATCATGTTACCATTTACAGTTCCAATTAAAATAACCTATGGGCTTGAATTTCTCCATTTGAGTGCAGAGCGTCTGAGTGCAAGAGGATGGGGTGGGATGTGTGTCTGTCTGAAGTGTGCGGAAATACTTGTGCTTTTAAATGAAACAACCATCTCAGTGGCATCTCAGTACAGAAATAATAAGGGGAAAATGCAGAACACAGTATTAACTGGGCAAGTTCACTTTCAATAACCAGAAGCAGCAATACTCAAGCTGTAAATTACAGAGGAGCTTGATTCTGAAATAAAGTTCTTGGCTTTCTCCTGGCAATCTCTTGACTGTTCATTATGCCCTCCTGACCGTTCATGAAGTATTTTCTTAAATTTACTTTCACACAGAGTTATGGATGGAGTTTACTATCACCTTACAGTCCTGTGCCAACAGGAATGTTAGCATCTGCAAAAAAAACCTAAATTATGTTTTCCAATTAAGGAAGAAGTTCAAGAAGTCCTTTACTACAGTTGCTTAAAAGGTGAACTAATGTTTTTGTGTTATCATTAATATTTTGCTCTCTTTAAATAGGAGGTGCATGAGCAAACAGAAGGAGGGGTGGAAACTGAAGTTTCATAAAGGTGTTGGGTTTTTTGAAATTATTTGTATTCCATGCAAATTAGCTTCAGTCAGATCTGAATCAGATGAATAGTTTGCATACCATTAGCCAGACAGACATTTAAAAAGCATACCTGTTAAATATGTTCTCACTTGCAGCGTACTTGTCCAATCTTCCCAAAGGCGTCAACATCTCATCTTGTGAGACAAAGTCCAGGGCTGAAGGTATAATAATCACATCAGACTCTGAGCTGTAGTCATCCACACCAACTATCAGAGACATCAGAAATATTCCTTATAATCACAGTAGTTTGACACTAAAATGATGTCTGTTGTTGGTCTGAAATACAGAAATCTAGGCAAGGTCCCATTGACAACATATTTAGTAACTGCATCACATTGTTCCCACCAGCTTCCCCAGCCCCCATAAAGTCTTTTCTATAAGTGCGACTGATGATGTATAAATGGATATTGAGTCATTTTCTCTAACTTCCCAAGTAAGATTCATCACTAAACTTCCTGAGTATTTTTATACCTTGTATTTTTCTCAAGCAAATTACTTTCATCCAATTGTCAAGTCAGCTTTTTTTAGAAGACACAAACTCAAATGATAGCTGCAGGTAGCCCAAAGTTTATACAACATGATCTAACAGACCAAAAAGACTTTGTTCCAAACCAGAAAAATCTAAACTAAGCATGTAAAAAAAATCAGACCGTGTTGCTAGATCTGGCTACCAAATAAAATGGGCACAAGTCACTTCAATTACTGCATAATTATTAACCAGCAAATTATCACGGAACTTCATATACAACATTTATCAACACAGAACCAAAGAAGTGGAAGGAAGTCCAATCCTGTTCTGCAGAGCTGCTTAAGAATGAAGATTTGAATTACCACCACCTTTTTAGTTTCTGTACGCCCTCAAAACTGCTCTAACACTCAGTCCCCTAGCAAACACACACCTCTGGCTGCAAATGAGATCACCTGTTGGAAAGGTCACCTCCATTAGTCCTGAAAACACAACACAACACTCCACTACCCCTACTCTTCAGTCCATCCAAATCTCCCTGCAATGCCTTTTCATAACTTGCAAATAGAGAAGAACAGAAAACAGACCTAGAAGTCCAACAACTTTTTTTAAATGAACTTTACAAATGGAAGAAAAAAACATTATTGTCCTCTACCTTCCACACAATTATGCTGTGCTATATAAATTGCTTACCAAATAGTGTGTCATTATTTTCGACATTCAGAATACATAAACAGCTACCACTGCCTGAACATATTTCTTACTGTACTTCAAATGTCAAAAGACAAACACTGAGCTCTGGGAGAGTTTTATTTTTAGACATAAACTAAGGTAATGGCACCCTTTTAAAAACTAAGTAATTCTCCCATTTTCTACATAGGGAATCCATGGACATCAACTGATCCCGTGCTTGCACAAAAGACCAGACTTTGCAGTTGCTGATAGGACATGAAATTCTTGCCAGAAATCAAAAGAAAAAGCGATGGGGAAAGAGCAAGAGTGTAAGAACAATCTAAGAGATGGGAGAAAGGAAGAAAGGAGCCAAAGGAGATGGAAGAGCAATCTGAGAAGGGGAATTAGTGGTGTTAGATATTTGTAAGGTAGAGGATAGAATAACAAACTGCAGGGGGAGGAAGGGAAGGCTGAAAAGAAAGATCAGCTGCAAAAAGCTATTGCAACACAAAGGGAAAGTGTTTAGCAACTCCAGGTTTACATAACTGTTTGAACTTGTGTTTGGTTTGGGTTTGTGGGTTTGTTTGGGTTTAATTTTTGTTGTTTAGTTTGGGCTTTTTGCAAGAATCTGTTTTATTTTCGCAGGAAGTGGGAGGCGAGTAAAAATGAACTCAGTGCAAGCTAGGACTTTATGGCAGGTTAAGTTAACAAGGAACAGGCTACATCCTTTCACAGGCTCATAGGCCTTTAATTCAACCTAGAAATGCAACTGAAAGCAGAGATTTTTCTGTGTTTTTAGTTCTGCCATCTCACACCTAGACTATTTCAGTGGAAGAGATCTTCAACTATCATCCAGTCCGACTGCCCAACCACCTCAAGGCTGACCAAAACTAAAATCACTTCCTTCTCTACTTCCCATTCTCAGGAATCTACAGAAAGTGGTGAAGTCACCCCTCAGCCTCTTTCTCTCCAAACCAGACAGTGAAATTACTTCTATGACAGAGTCCTATTTTTTTAATTCAGTGTCTGTTGATCATATTGTAAATTAAAAAACATAAATTAAAGAAACTATGTCAAAATACCAACATAAAAATAACCACACTGCTGACAATAGTTACTCAGCTATCAAACTCATGAATACAAAAAAATAAAATGCTGACCATTACAAACACCACCAATTTTACTCACTTAATCTCCCTGTTCTCAACCTCAGTCTTGTTCTATGTTCCTCCTTGTACCCTCTACATTTATTTTTCTACAATTTTTGTCTTATGAAACCAGTTAAGTCAATCCAACTGCTAAATCCACTCTATATCAGATGTAAATACCAATGATAAAAAATATAAACATCTGCTTACAATTTATCTGTTTGATGTCTCCTACTAGTTCATACTGTGAATTGTGTGAATTTTGCTCTGCTGAGTTTATGAATTGTAAAATTAGGCTTAGCACTACATTGAGCTTGATGTGCCTCTGCTACCAAACAACATTTACTATTTAAATAATTCCAGCATCGCAGCTCATAGTCACAGAAGAGATCATTCAAATGACAGCATCTTGATTAACACAACTATAATACAGGGAAGAAAAGGGTGGTAAAAATAAATCAATCAGCACATGAAGTATTACAGTTCTAGTGAAGTGCTGTTACAGTTACATTACATACTTATTTTCATTTCACAAAATCTGTGCAAGTCAAAAGAGACAGTCCATTCTAACAAAGAACTCCCGTTCCAACAAAGCCCCTCACGTGGATGCTGCTCTTCAACTCACCACAAACATCAGTCACCAACACCTGACCACTCCTCGCCAAAAATGCAGAAAGGACATATTTTGCATTATGCAATTAACCAAGTCACTGTGCTATTCACATTACACCAAAACAGTGACCAAAAAGGCTGTTAACTGAATATTGCCTCTTCAGCCCTACTCTGCTTTCCACCCAGCTTTGAGCATTTGACTAAGTACCACAGGACCTTCTGTGAATTTTGCCAACGCGAGCCACACCCCTGGACAACACAAGTGTACTGATTTTGGCTGGGACAGCATTCCAGTTCTCCCCAGTAGCTTATATGGGGATACTTTGCACATTTCCAACCTATTCACTGGGAGAGCATCATGAGGAATAGAAAAGGCCCTGACAGGGTTTAAGCCCTGTCTTCAGGAGTAACTAATACATCAGTGATTTATCAACACTAGTTTCAGCACAAGTCCAAAACACTGTCCCAGATAAGGTATTCTAGAGAAATTTAAACTCTATGCCAGTCAAAACCAGTACAAATTCTGGCTAATTCAAATGCGGAACACAAATTTCTTCCCGGGGAACAGGGTAGGTAACAGGGCCATGTACTACTTATCTGGTGCTAAAACAACTGTGGGTAAATTTTCTTTTTTTTCTCCACTTTTTCAAACAGGTACAAGTCTGGACCAAATCCACAGAAAGCATATAAGCTACAAGACACCTCTGAAAACTATTGCTAGTGCAGAGCCTTTACTACCTTCTGATCTGGTCTTACGTGCTCACAGGTAAGCATGCAAAAGTGGAGCTAGAGAAAACAGGAGTTTCCATCAGAACACGCTATCCCAGGAGTTCAAAGCCACTACTGGCTTCAAGAGGAGAAACAGCAATTGCACAATGATGTCAAAAGCAACCACAGTGCTTCTATTTCCATACATTCAAGTACCAAAGCAGAACAGAATGAATACACTCATAATTTATCTAGACGAAGTTTGTAAGTTTCTCTTCAAAACTCTACACAATGACTGCCAAACACAAGGATGCATCACATAACAACAAAGGCACTGCCTTTTGCTTCCATGTCTGATTGCCATTAACTTCTGTGGTATCACAGAAGCCAAATAACTTCTCCTCTGTGCACCTTCATTTTCCAATCAAAACATTTGAGTGTTTTTTGGTAGAAGTTGCTCAAGCTTGTCTATCTATCTTGCACCTGGTCCATACTGTACTGTGTGAAAATATATCTCTCTGTTCCCCTTAAGCTGCCCTAGTTTTATGGCAAGGATACAATAATGTGACAGAGTTATTAACTAATGTGAACTATACAGCAATCTTGCTGAGGCACACTACATTTAGGGGTGCTTAGTCAACCACTGCCAAGCTTGGCTGAGCATACAACAACAAAACACAGGGCCATTTAAAACTCAGTCCTCCATAAAACCACAGCCTCTAGGCCAATTTTCAAGGGAGTTGGTTTTTCTACTACATATACACCCTGATAGTATCTTTCACAAAGGTCTCTCATGCTGAATCTTTTACAGAGAGGTGCACAAAATCACATTTGGAAAACATAACTACTGTTTTTTCTTACTTAATAATGCAGGAACAATTCTCTGCCACAGACTGCTCAGTAATGAGGCCTATATGTATTCTTCTTGTTCTTCTGTATTTCCTATGAGCCCCATGGCAGAAATATATTCTTCTTTGTTTTGCCATAGAAACTCAGTGACAAGAAGTCTATTTAAAAAAATAAGCAACTTTCAATTCTGAAAGCTGAAAAACAAACAGCTTTAAGGATTCAAGATTTCCAGCTAATATTAAATTCTCTCATTTTATCTTCTGTATCCCCAAAGAGTTCTCATGATTTATTGCAAAAACTATGTGGCAGACATATCTACTAAAATGGACAAACTTTTACTCAATCTTAGTATAAGCTACTTATTATGCTCTACATCAATTGTTATCATATGGACATTCAGGATAATACAGCACTTATGTGCAGAAAGAACTGAGTTCTGTTCTGCTGTTCAGGCAAATAATTTTTCTGCTTAACTGTAAAGCAAGAATTGTAATCTTATGAGCCCAGACATTTGATATTGTGACCACAAAATAACAGCAGCAGGTTTTGCTCTAAATGACTGCCTTCCATGCTACAAGAGAATAAATCCACCTTAGGTTCAGACTTCTGCAGAATACAAGTAGTATTCTCAGCCTTTCAATATTGCAAACACATTCATTTCTATGTAACTTTCTGTAAGAAATATCATTTTGTATCTGATGTGCTGCAAAGAGAAATTCAGCTCAGCATGAGCACTAATGCTTAAGCATCT